CAACCCACCTGGAGTAAAGGAGAATGAAGAACACCAAAGTCACAAGGAAAGTATTAGCCCAAAAGACAGAAGGGCCACATAAACCAGAGACTGCATCTGTCTGAGACCAGAAGAACTAGATGGTGCCCAGCTACCACCAATGACCACCCTGACAGGGAACACAACAGAGAGTCCCTGATGGAGCAGGAGAATGGTGGGGTGCAGAACTCAAATTCTAGTAAAAAGACCAGACTTATTAATGGTCTGACTGAGATTGGAGGAACCCCAGAAAGCATGGCCCTGGACTGTCAACTCAGAACTAAAACAATTCCCGAGGCCAACTCTTCAGACAAAGATTAGACTGGACTATGGGACATAAAATGATACTCGGGAAGAGTGTGCTTCTTAGCTCAAGTAGATACATGAGACTAAATGGGCAGCTCCTGTCTGGAGGTGAGATGGGAAGGCAGAGAGGGTCAGGAGCTGGTTGAATGGACATGGGATATCCGGGTGGAAAAGAGGAGTGTGCTGTCACAGTATAGGGAGAGCAATTAGGGTCACATAACAATGTAAACATAAATTTTTATATGAGAGACTAACTTGAATTGTAAACTTTCACTTAAAGTACAACAAAAATAATAATAAAGATAAACATTGAAGAAAATAAAAATAAATAAAGTGTTATTAAAGACAACCAAAAAAACATGATGTTGAATGAAAGAAGCCAGACATAAGAGACCACATAGTGTCTGATCCCATTTATATGAAATATCCAGAAGAGGCAAATTTAGAGACAGAAAGTGGGTTCGTGGTTGCCAGGGGCTGGGGAGTGGAAGGGTAGGGAGTGACTGCTAATGAGCACAGGGTCTTCTTTTGGGGTGATGAGAATGTTCCGGAGCTAGACAGATGTGGTGGCTGCACAGCAATGTGGATATACTAAATGCCACTGAATTGCTCACTTACAAACTAATAAAATATCTAGAGCAGGCAAGTGCATAGAGATCAAAGTTTATTAGTGGTTACCAGGGGCAGGCAGCAGAACGGGGAAATGGAAGACACAGTTCTTAGGGGACACTGAGCTTCTGTTAAGGGTAATGGAAAAATTCAGGAATGGTTAATGGTGAAGGTTGAATATGATGAACATTGAACTTGTACCCGTGAAGACTGTAGAAATGGCTAATGGTTTGTTACCTATATATTTACCACAATAAAAAAAATTAAAGTGGCAAATTTTTGTGTTATGAGTATTTTAGCACAATAAACAAAAATTTAAGAAAAGAAAAGGAAAAAAGAGGAATGGGGGAGAAGCAGGTTTAAAGTTTATCTGAAGTTCTGAAGTGAAATACTTCACTCAGAGCTCTCTCCGTCCCCACAGGCCGATGGCTCTCCAGGGGAGACAGCACCCCATGCTCCATAACCCCGCAGCGGGCACATACTCTGGGAGTGAGGGCTGGCACCCCAGCGGCTGCACTGTCCCCCCACCCCCCTGCTACCTGACAAGCCCAGCGCCAGCCACGTCTGACCGATTCCATGACCCCATGACAAAGGCCCTCTTTGTTCCCTGGTAATATCCTTAGCAGGTCTGTCTAGACGCTGCACTGTGGCAACAATTGTCCCGTGATGTCAACACACCCTTGGCCAGCCCCTCTGCAGTGGCTCGCTGGCTTGGGCAGGGACGGCCCATGAGGCAGCCGAGCCCAAGGGCTCCCAGCTCGATACCCACCTAAGCCACCTATGGAGAAACACAGCCAGCCTTGCACGACCACCATGTAGGACCAGGGGACACACAGGATTTGGTCCCTCCTGCAGCAGACGCTGCTGAGAGGTGGCCACCACTCTGGGAAGACACAAAGGGGATTGTCCACTCACCTTCACAATGCCCACCTCCCAATTGTGGCTGGTGGGGAATGAGTCACCCTCCTCTGGGGCACAGGTTCACTGGGGCTTCCAGATGGAAAGTCAGGACAGAGAGAGAGAGACACGGACACACACAGAGATAGAGACGCAGAGAGAGAGTCAGACAGAGACAGACAAAGAAACAGAGATACAAAGACAGAGAGAAATGGAGAGAGAGAAGGGGAGAGAGATGAAGAGAGAGAGAGATGAAGAGAGGGAGAGAGAAGGGAGAGAGACCCAGAGAGAGAGGGAGAGACAGAGAGAGAGAGATAAAGAGAGAGAGAGACAAAGAGAAGGGGAGAGAGGGAGAGGTTAGCTGTAACTAGCCCCAGGAGGGGAGGAAGGTTCCCTCCACGGACAACAACCCAGGCTTCTGAGAAATCTACTGGGGCAAGAAGCAACTGCTGCTGACACCATGCAACACGCACCCATCTTCAGGGCAGGAGACAGACATTGGCTGCGTGGGCACCTCCCAGAACACCCGCAGCACATTTTCCTGGGGGACGCATTGGACTCCTCCAATGGCCACACTTCTGCTTTTACCCGGGCCTCAAAAAAACCACGTGGCCGCTCCATATGACTCAAGTGGACCCCACCGACCCTGCACTATGCAGAAGACTCCAGACAAAAAAGTGGGTGCCACGTGATTCCCTTTATGGAAAGTTCTAGAACAGACAAAAGTCACTGATGGTGATCACGTCCACCCAGTGGTTACATCTTGAGGGGAGTAACTGGGAAGAGGCCAGAGAGGGCTTCTGATGGCTGGGAATGTTCTAGAACTTGGTCTGGTGGCAGGTGACACAAGGGTGCAAATATGTAAAATTTCCTTATGTTATCAACATTCAGGCCCTTCAGTGTATGTTTTGTTAGATGTCATCAAGTCAATTCCAATTCAGGGCGACCTCATGTGTGCAGAGTAGAACTTCTCCATAGGGTTTTCATAGCTTTGATCTTTCAGAAGCAGATCACCAGGACTTTCCTCCAAGGTGCCTCTGGGTGGGTTGGAACCACCTACCTTACGGCTAGTAGTTGAGCACTTAATGGTTTGCACCACCCAGGGGCTCCAGTGTATATGTTAGTGTCCAGTTTTGTCTTGTTTCTTTACATGGAAAACATCTACTCTAAGTTGAGTTGGCATCTTTTTAGCTGCAGAATGGTCCAGAACCCTCTTTTTGTTTCATAAATTTCAGGAGCAAGGTGGGAAGGCCTTCCACAGAGGTCTGGAGAGTTGGGGGACTGACAGAAGGAACATGGCCCCTCGGGCTGCAGGATTAAAAGGCCACCATCCCCAGCACCCCAAGTCTGGAGCTGGAGGGATTCCCAAAGATTGTTTAATTGATTTTTCCTCTATTTAAGATGCAGATCACAGTGTCTGGGGTCCAGGAATTCAGACACATGCCTTTGTGTCCACTCAGGCCCGTGAAGCCTGTTGTCTGAAACCCCTACAAAGCCAGACACACATGGCTTCAGAAACACGCTATTCCTTTTTTGTCTGGGCCCTGGGGAGCAGGCACGGCAAGCAGGGCCCTGGACCCCTCCTGCATCATGCCTGTAAAGTAGGGTGAAGAAGAAGGGAAAAAAAGAGGCAGCCTCGACTTTGGGGTCCGGAGCAAGAGAGATGCAAAAGGTGAGGGTCCCAGCTAGGGGGTGACGCATAGAGATTTCAATTTGGATTTGAATTTGGGCTTGGAGGGGGATGCCAGGGTGCCTTAAATCAGGGAACTAATGGGCTAGGATTAACGCGGGGCTGACTCTGGTCCCTGCCAGTCTGATTTATACAAGGGGAAGACATCTCCCTCTTTCTCTCTGCCCATTGTCCCCCAGTCTGTCCATCCAAATGCCCTGTTGAACAAAGAAACTGGGAACCTTCTCAGATTCACGCCCCAGCTTGGTACAGTGGGAAAACCCCCCAGTCTGCAGCCTTCTTCTCCTCCAACTGCTGGGAGGGGACAATGAGGGTCACTGCACCCCCAATGTCTGTCTGGTCCCCTCACCAAAACACACCAGGGAATCCTCACATTGGCCATTTGGGGATCTATCTCTGCATAAATGGGAAAGATTTTGATAAAAGAGAGAAAGATCCCATATCTGGAAGATTCCTAGGGGAGCAAAAGTGAACCCCACTTTCACAAACCAGCAGTATTTATTCATGCCAGCCACCAAGTCCCAGGTCTGTGGCCTCTGGCTAGGTGTGGGGTACTTTTGAGCCAGCAACATACCTGTTTCCTGGTTAAGTGACCTCAGATGGCCCCTTTTACCTCTCCAGGCCTCAGTCTTCTCATCCGTCAAGTGGGCACAAGAATAACCACATCCACCCCATGGGGTGGCACAAACAGTTAAGCACTCGACTACTAGTGAAAGGTAGGCAGTTTAAACCCACCCAGAGGCACCTCAGAAAACAGGCCTGGCAATCTGCTTCTGAAAAGTCACAGCCTTGAAAACCCTATGGAGCAGTTCTACTCTGCACACGTGGGGTTGCCATGAGTCGGAATCAACTCAATGGCAGCTAACAATAACAACACCCCGTGGGGATGAGGCAGCGGTGGGTCAGTAGCAGAATTCTCGCTTTCCATGCAGGAGATCTGGGTTGGATTCCCAGGCAATATACCTCACATGCAGCCACCAATTGTCTGCCAATGGAGGCTTGCATGTTGCTATGATGCTGAATAGGTTTCAGCGGAGCTTCCAGACTAAGACAGACTAGGAAGAAAGGTCTGGTGATCGACTTCTGAAAATCAGCCAGTGAAAACCCTACAGGTCACAACAGTCCAATCCACAACTGATCAGAGGCATGGTGTAGGACCAGGCAGCGTTTTGTTGTAGTGTGCGTGTGGCTGCCACGAGTTGGGAGAGACTCCACGGCAGCTAACAACATCCCGAGGGGGTTGTTGGGAGAATTCAGAGCACCTGAGCACAAAAAACACTTTCTGCATGGCAAGCGGGCCACAGACGCAAGCTACAGCGATTATCATGATCCAGGAAGAAGGTGTGTGTACTGGACTTAAATATTCCACACGACACGGTCCTGGAGATGGCCTCCTTGCAGATTCCTCCCTCTCTGGGGTGCCAAGTAGTGCCAGGGAGCCAGCCCCAAGCCTGACTCCTACCCTTCGGCAATGAGTTACCTGGACTGCGATCCAGCTGGCGTTCACAGTGTGCTCCCCAAAAGGGCCGAACCCTGGAAAAGCAGCAAAAACGGCAGGTCACCAAGCAATGTCGCCGTGGGTGTCACTGCCTCCACTGGAGCTACAGGGAGCAGCTGTCACTGAGAGAGCATTGGGGGCCTGCACCCCCCTACCTCTGCCTTTCTGCTCTCAACCACGGCCTGAGCACCTTCCCCCTCCTCTGTCCTCACCTCCACATGACCCCAGGCCCTGCGAAGGCCAGCAGCCTCCTATAGCCCCTAAACTTTCTCCACTGTCTCTGTAGGGGACCTTCCCCCCACATGGAGGGGCAGTGCGAGGTCCACCTTGTCCACATGGTGTCCCTAGCGCCCAGCTCATGGGAGGTGCTCCATGAAGCACAGCCAGTGAGGAGTGAACTTTAGGGGCATGTGCGGGTCTCCCCCAGGCCAGGCCATCCAGACCATCGCATCCCACCACCTCCTCCCTACTCCCCACCCCAACCCAGAACTCCCGGCCTGATTTCCAAACCCAAACAGTCACCATCTGAGCAGGGCTGCCACTGATGTGCTAAGTGTTGTGCAAGGTGCTAAGCGCTCAGTGTGGTATTTGGACCTTCCCCTTCGGGATGGGCCCATTTTACAGGAGTGGAGACTGAGGCACAGGAAGGGGAAGCCAGCTGTCCCCGGTCACACAGCGAGAACAGAAAAGAGCCAGCATTTCAACCCGAACCCGTGAGAGTCTGCCGCCTCCCTCTTCTAACCACCCAGTCACACTGCTCAAAAAATAAAGGTCGCCAAGGGAGGCTGCTCCGGACATGGGGGCCACCCAGGCTGGACCAGGATGCTCCTTGCTATCAGTTCCCAGGGAGGGGTGCTGTTCACTCTGATAGAAGGGAGGATGGATTAGGAGGGGCCTCAGACCCCTTCCTCCTGCATAAGTCAAGTTAAAGTCCCAGATGGACCACTTACAGGGGGGATGGGCTCTCTGAGCCTCAGTTAAACCAAAAAAGTCAAACCCATCGCCAGCGAGTGGATTCTGACTCACAGCGACCCTGCAGGACAGAACTGAACTGTCCCATAAGGTTTCCAAGGCTATAATCTTTATGGAAGCAGACTGCTACATCTTTCTCCCATGGAGCGCCTGGTGGGTTTAAACCACCGACCTGACCTTTCAGTTAGCAACCTAGCGCTTAACCACTGTCCCACCAGGGCTCCTCTGTTTTCCCTCTGTAAAATGGAGATGGGGAGGATTTAATGAGCTCATGCAAGGAAAACGCTCAGGCCAGCACTGGCATGTAGTGAGAGCTCATTCATTAATAACCAGACATCGCATGACTGCAGGGAGTCGCTGACTCACCCGCCTTTCGGCTGACTCACCCGCCTTCCGGCTATACACACCTGTTGGACAGGTGAGCAGCTTCTTCATCTTCCCCGGAGTCCCAGGACCAGCCCCGCCCCTCCCTGGGCCTCAAAATATCCGTGCCAATGCTGGCTGGGAGTCCGCCCCCAACACGGCAGGTTAAAGTGATCCCCCCACACAGTGGGGGCGGAAGTGGAGGTGCCACGTGGCCCGAGGCAGAGTCTCTGCGAGGAGGAACAGTTGGTTTCAGGGAGCGGGTGACAACGGGCGGCGCCGGGCTCACCCCACACTTAGACACCCAAGACGATCGCTGAGGCAGCCGGGAGACCCGACGCCCGAGGTTCCCGGACCATCGCCTGAGGTCCCGGGAGTCCTTGCCTCGGGAAACAGCCCCCCATTAGCGCAGGGCGCGGGCAGCAGGGGCTGCGCGGAGGTTCATTTGTCACCCGGAGTACTTCCTGCCCGCAACTCAGCCTCTGTCCCCTGGGGCCGAGGGTAGGGACAGGCTGACCTCCGGAGGGGCAGCGGGGAGGAGCCCCACCCAGCCCGAGGGCCGGAGGGCCGAGCAGGTGCCTGGAGGGTCACTGTCCCCATCCGGACGCAGGAGGAGCGTGTCCGCGCGGGGACCCTGCCCGGCCCCGCCTGTCCCAACCCTGGCCCCACTGTGTCGGTGGCTGGGGGGAGCGAGGCTCCGCAGACGATGACACCTTCAAAGCCGGGCAAGACTTCTAGCAAGTCCTGCCCGGACCTTCTGCTGCCCGGCCCGGCCGCCCTCCCGCCGCCGCGCACGCCATCAGCGCGCCCGCCCGCGTACCCGTCACCACCACCGCCTTCTTGGGCTGCTCCATGGCCCGTTGGCTGCCGCCTCCGACCCGCGCCCAGCCCGACTGTC